TAAATGGGTGTTGGCAAGACTGACTGACTTAATTGAAAAGCTTAACCTTTTAGAGAGTGGACACAGTTGTGGTGCATTTCAGTTGTTTTATTGTTTCCATACATGTGCATATTACACAGTTGATATTATATGCCCTGACTTTTGCGAGTTAACATTTTTCCCTTGTTCATATGGAAATATGACATCTGATCTATGAATATCTATTTTGCAGCATCGCCGTGATTACTTGGACGATGATTATCATGTAAGCTTCTATTGACTTCTTACATTTCTTTGTTTATATGCCTAGATGTTAAGGACCCAACCATTGATCCTTACTTTTATTCACACATTTCGTAGTACCATAATTTTTACCTATATTTTAAGCACACATTCCTTGGGGCCCACTATTTATAATCAATTATAATTTTTGTCAAACATGCATTTAGTCTTCGAAATGCTTTCTCACATGTAGGCTGAATTCAGTTTTTCATCAAATTTTTGACACGCACAATTTTCATAAATGGGTGTTGGCAAGACTGACTGACTTAATCGAAAAGCTTAACCTTTTAGAGAGTGGACACAGTTGTGGTGCATTTCAGTTGTTTTATTGTTTCCTTACTTGTGCATATTACATAGTTGATATTATATGCCCTGACTTTTGCAGCATCACGAGTTAACATTTTTCCCTTGTTCATATGGAAATATGACATCTGATCTCTGAATATCTATTTTGCAGCATCGCCGTGATTACTTGGACGATGACTATCATGTAAGCTTCTATTGGCTTCTTACATTTCTTTGTTTATATGCCTAGATCTGTGTATATATTTCGAAAAAACTTGTTACTAATTCAACTGAACATATAAGCTGACACTCAATAATTTCATTTAAGATTACTCGACGGGTATCTGGAACTTTAAATTGCATAGGCTAAGATGTGGTGTAGTACTTTTGTTTTGAAAAAGAGGATATCGAAACTACCAAGAGTAATCTTACAGGATAACTTAATAATCTAGTTAAGCCATCGTGTCAGTCTTCTTTAATCCGTAGAATGCATCTTCCATCCATTGTAAGATAGGTAGATGCACCGCTTTGTTAGAACAATTTTGCTACATGTACATCCTGGTTTACACCGTCTTATCGAACCATCTTACACATCTCACACATAAGCCAACCATCACAATCTTGCCACGTCACCCATCTGTCAACAAGGGTGTCAAAATTTACAAATAGCTTAATTGTTGTTAGAACCGTATTACATGCTCATAAAATTATAGAAATCGCTAAAGTTAAATTTTAAAGAAAGCAGTATTTTTAGCTTTTATGTTTCTTTTTGGGTCGATTCAGACCCTACAATTTGAAAGATATAAGAAAATTGGGACCTTACTAGATAAATCTTCTTTTTGCTCTGTGTTGCAGGATGAACTTTGAGTGTGTATCGACTTTTCTGCGAAAGTATTACCAACATTGTGATTGTTAAAATTCGACTGTATATTTGTACTCAGAATACAAAAAAGTCTGAAGTAATGATCTACATCTTGTGATATCCAAGTAAGCCAAATAAATTTGGACCTTACTAGATAAAAATCTTCTTTTTGCTCTTTGTTGCAGGATGAACTTTGAGTGTGCATCGACTTTTCTGCGAAAGTATTGCCAACATTGTGATTGTTAAAATTCGACTGTATTTTTGTACTCAGAATACAAAAAAGTCTGTTGTAATGCTTCACATCTTGTGCTATCCAAGGAAGCCAAATCTATGTTCAATTAGGATCCGATTTTTATGTATTCCTCTTAAGCTACTTGATGCAGTGCTTTTCTAGCATCTCTTTTTTTGGCTGATATTGTGGGTCTTAGATTTTGGAAGAATTGTCTAACAAACTTCATCTTCTTCCTCACCCACGTTCTTTCCAACTTTATTTCTACCTCACCCGAGACCAATCCCAAATTGTCCCATCCCGACCCAGCCCCTGGGTACCCAAAGGGAAACAGTTGGTGCTGAAAATGGTGTCGATCATGTAGTTGGCCAAATTCAAATGTTGGGAGGTCGATCATGTTGGTTAACTCGATTCAGATAGTACAACTGCAAACCTTCCTACTACCAAATTCCCTGCACCTCCGCACGAACACCAATGGAGTTGCACATATCATTCAAAGTATGCAAATTCGTGCACGAAAATAGCATAAATTGGAAAGAAACGGAATCAATTTGTTTTTTATTATTTTTTTGAAGAATAAGATAAATATTGTGATCCTTATAAGAAAATATGAGATTTTGAAGTTAAAATATAACTAAATTAGATTTTGTATGAAATGGGAAAGAACACAAGTCCTTTGACAATCATTCTTTCAATTATTATTATTTTTTTATCAGTATTTTTAATCACACATTACCACAATAAACTATTTTTCACATAAATTCATAACTTTTTTTTTTACCAAACATTTTTCAAAAATTTACCATTCAAAAACTCATTCTTTTGAAAAGAATGGTTTCATCATCCAAAAATGTTTTTCCAACGTTGACACTTGGCAGGAATTTACATATTAAATGTCTGTTTGAGCCCCATTTTTTGTTAAGAATGCATTTTGAAATTGTAGATTGATAAAAAAATGTGGTTAAAAAATAGAATTATGCCAGTTGTACACTTTTGTGTACATGTATGCTACTCTAAAAAATAAGAAAAAATTTTGAGTTTGAGTTTGAGTGTAATATTATTTTATTGAAAATGCATGGTTGAAAATAAAAGAAAGAAAAATATATTTTAAAAATAATGAAATCAAGCAAGGACTAAGTATCAAAATATTTTTAAAACAATATGACACTCATGCTACAATCGATCCCTAAGAATATCTTATACCCTGTTTGGTAGATAGATTTTAATTCAAGTCAAAATAAATAATTTTAACCATATATTTTATGACACACTCAACTTTTCAATCGCATTTTATCAATTTTCATTAAATTATATTACAAATTTAATTTTAATTCCCATCAAACAAGGGCTTAATCTCTCTGCATATATCATACACCTTACCTAAACTTTAAAATTTTGTTTGTGTGACTACGCTAATATTATATTTTGAATGGACATACCAAATATGTCGTATTGAATATTTCATAGCTAATTTAGACTATTAAACTCGATCATATAAGAAATTTGGTCAAAATTTTATCTTCTATATTTCTACAACAGGGTCCAATACCGTACATTAAATATATATATATATGAGCTGCATAATAGTGCAAATTTACTTGCCAGACATATGAATGGTGATTGCATAATCTTGACAATAAGCTTTTACCTTTTTTATCTGATGATAAAAAGTAACATACCTTGGCATTTATTTTTTACCAAATATGGATTTTTTTTGAGGTATTGATGCTTGTATATATAGAGGGAAGATAGGTGAGAAGACACTTCTATGGCTAGCCACATTGTGTCTGTTTAAAGAACGAGATAGAATGGCATCGGAAACCGAGGAATCAGTAGTAGTCTTGCGAGAGGTCGTCTCACACGCAGTGCTACCGAATGATCTGATTGAGAAGTTGAAGGATATTAAGACTTGGGACGAATGGCCTTGTCGATGGACATTTGACGAGGAGAAAATGAGCTTGGTGTGGTTAGGGTACCCTTCCATGAATGTTAATTTGTGGGTTCTTACAGATGATTTATGGAGCTCCAATGACACAGCTTCCTCAAAACCATGAAGAGAAATAGGCTACTGTTTGATTAACCTAGGGGTGTGTGTGACATTTTCCATCTTTTGGCATGTTTGATGGTACAAATTTTTCCTAAAAAACTTTTTCCACAATTCCTAATATTTTCCCACATGATGACTCACTTGCCCAAATTCCTTCAAAGCATTTTCCATGTTTTGCCAAAATTTTTTTTTCTACTTTTTGATAATGTTAACAAATTTCATAACCAATTATAAAAATAAATTTCAATTTAATTGACAATTTCCATATAAAACGAAGCCAAACGAACACTAAATTTTGATTAAAAAAATTGATTTTTTAGGGGGAAAAAAAAATTTTCCCTTTTTTTTTTTTACTTCTTTGCAAAGGAAACAAATTTTATAATCAATTGTAGAAAAAATTATCACTTTCACGGACAATTTCCATGTGATAAAGTCAAACAAACACAAAATTTAAAAATTTTCCGGATGAAAAATTATATCAATCAAACACACTTAATTTCCAATTCTCTGGAAAACAATTTCTAGGCAATTACTTTCCCTGAAATTCATTTTCTTTCCACCCATTTTCCACCTTTGCAATCAAACGAACCCTATAAGTTAAAGGGACTGTGAAATTTTTTTGATAAAAGTTTATGAAATTGTGGATCTCATGAAAATATTTGTTTGGAATTAAAGTTTAACTGCTTAAAAGTTGAAAAATTTTAGCAAAATTTTATCAAGTATTTACTTATTTGCCAAACATGAACAACATTTAGATGGGGATTGAATATAGATGGATCTTTTCCCTTTTTATTTGAAATATTTTTCTTTCTATTTTCTTTTTAATTTTTATAAAGATCAACTGTTTATTGACTTTTGCGCATCAAAAAGTGGTTAAATAGATGAATTCCATCTATTGAAAACTAACTTGCTACAAACTTGGAAGAGTTGAAAGAGGCATTACCAAAAAATATCACTTGAAGACCAACATTCTTGTTACATAGAAAAGAGGTTGCAGACCAACAATACAAATCCCCATAGAAAACAGACATCAATATTCAAGAAAAGATAAAAATAGAAGAAGACTTGAGCTCAAAAGTGCCAAGTGGTTCCGTGTGCCATTTCATAATTCGAGGATACTGGCACTTTTTACCCATTGCAACCCCATTGAAATCCAAGCTCTATATGTAGACAACTAAAGGCTGTATCCACTTCTCTTGTTGGCAGGGCGGGTGGGGTGAGGACGATGATGAACTAAAGGATGAAAGGTTAAAAATAGAGTACATAAAATTGGAAAGGTTTTGCTAAAGATACATTCTAGAAAATTAATAAGTGAGTTATCTTCTTCGCACTGCAGTAGGCTGACCACGTTGAGCTCCTGCCACTGCCTGCTGCGTTTGAGTGCCAGGTTGCCCATTACCCTGTTCTTCAGCCATGTTCATGGCTTGGGTGATGGCATTCATGACAATAAGCCCAAGAGGGATCAAGTACATCCACTGAGAGAAATACAAAAAAGGGTAAGAAATATGTATATGGCTTTTTCGCTTACACAAAATTTTCAAAGAATAAGACGATAATATAATGGTATCTCTATATTTGAACTCACATATTTAGCCCAGAAGGGCCTCTCGGGAGGCGGCACTTCACCCTCTCCATTCTCCCCAACTACTTCTTCAGTAAATACTGGAGTTCTGCTTCAAAAAGTTCAAATCCAGTTAGAGTATAGTCAACTTCAAAATCATATGACCAAGTAAAATCCTAAAAACTGGGGGAATGATTTGTCAATGTCTACCACTATACAAGGCTTAATCAAAATTCAGAATAATTAGATTGTCAGTTGATCTGATTTGCAAACCATAAAAGAAGAAGATGAACATGAGTCTCTGAATTATTGAATGATCGACCAAAGCAACACAATTAGCTGGTTCAAATTCACTTTTTTAGAGGTAATTCTTTTTCAGAGGACTCAAGGACAATTGAATAATCAAAAACTAATTTACTGTAGTTATATTTGTCAGGAATGAATAATATTATGGAAATTGAAGCAAAACGCTGCTAACCAGGAGCCAGTAAGGCCATAAAAACTTCCAAGGGTGGGAGGGACCTTAAATTCAAGGTAAATTATTAGATAAATCACATGCATGGGGAAATGAAAGGTAAACAAGGAAAGTGAAAATAATTCACCTTGGGGCCTGTTCACCGTTCTTCAAGACTGTATGGGACTTAAAAGACCACTTCGCAGGCTGACAAGAAAACAATCAAATGAACAAATAAGTAATGCACTTGGAGCAGCACAAATAAGAATTGTAAAATGTCAGGATATTTTACATGCTTTTGCACTCTTTCCAGAACAAAAATATGTATAGATAAATCACAGTTTCAAAATTTTCTGAGACCAGACTTACAATTTTCAATTGTCGTGGATACGGGCATGATCCTGGAGAACCATAGTTAATAGCCAAAATATTCACACCTTCCTGCAGTTCAAATGCAACAGCAGACAATTAAAGAAAACAAGAGTACGAAACAAGTGAAGCTAAGCTAAGTCATGAAACCAGAGATAACGTCATACAGATTAGACATGGTTGGCCAAAGTCCATACGAAATCAAATACAACAAAAGCTACATCTTATTCCCAAATAAATTTAATCAGCTATAAGAATTTATTTTTGCAACTTGGTTGAGTCCATCCCGACATCTAACAGAAGATCCAATGAATTAAAGTTTCGGCAACCACATCAAGCTGTATTAATGCTAGTCTACTTATCACTCTTCTACTCTATCCTTCGGGTACTGTATCGTTCGCCTGAACAGAAGATTGTATAAGTCTACACAACACATGTTCTTACCATCGTCGTTCAATCATCGTGTCACCCTGTATATGTCAGAGTATATTCTCATTTCTCATACTATTCTTTAAAGAATTATCATACATTCATCTTTAACATCTTAATTTCCAATACAGTCATCTCATGGATTTTATTATTTCACAAACCAACGCTTAGAGAACTGCTAATAGGCTCTTTATTCCTCATCCTCAAATTGTTACACTCTTGCGTAATCTCTCATAAAATTTGTTTTGAATGAAAGACTTTTAAGAATACGATAAAGAATCCCCGATAAATTTCAGCATGGAAGAAAACCAGATTGCACATGTGCGTGTTTTTTGTAAGAGAGGTGAAAGTAACAGCAGTACTAATTTTTAAACAATTCCATCAAGGTCTAGGGTGTACGAGGAGAGTATCAAATGAGATGTGGTCAGGAGAAGCAGGAAGGTAAGAGAGAGAGGAACTGATTTCGCGTCTTCAATGTTGACATCATTTTTGCGAGTCCTCTTGGTTGGATATGGATGCATTTTGAGGACGTTTCACAGGTGTTGGTAAGTTATCCATAGACTGATATCATAATTTGTGATTCTTACTTTTCATTTGTTCACATTTTCTCTTTTGTGGGCCTAAATAGATAGAACCAAGTATGTCCTGGTTTGAAACTTTTCAAGTTCAATGACAGGCAAGGTGTATTTGCCTAAAAATGAGGCATATAATAACTCTTAGGTTACAGGACTAACGTGTAATTATGGAAGAGTTTCCACCAGTTTAGATTCATATGCAGATTTCACGAAAATATAAAGAACAACATAACATAGCCATTATATATTCATGTTTGGGATGCACATTTCATTTTATTACATAAAACAACATTATTAAGGAAATTATTACCATGTGTATCATGAAATGCTCATCCAGACCATCCCGTGGAAGACATCTCTGCAAGCAGATAAAACAAGAAATCATATCACTCATTCTGCAGGTTATCATAGTATCTAAAAAGACAAGATAGAAGTGTATGAATGATGTTATTCATTCTGATGGCGATGAGAAAGTTATAAAGAGTATTTGTATTATGCTATGTTTTTAATATAGTTGGTTTTTGTGATGAAGCTAACCCAATAAGCATGGTTTTCACACTTTGCACTTTGCAACACCAACTAAAGGGACGGAATGTAGTAAGAAGCGACCGTTTAATCCTTTTTACACACCCAATAGAAACTGCCATGTTCGGTTTAACGGAAAATAATGGAAAGCAAAAGAAATTAACCCTTTCAATGCTCAAGTTAATGACACCTTTGTTACACAAAAATATACAATCGCATTCTGAACTTCAAGAATAGCTTGAATGATATGTCAAAAATAGTGAGGTTCAAAACTAATAGCAGATGAATTTAACTAGATATTTGTAGTTTGGAACTTATACCATAATAAATCATATGGGTAAGACCAAACTTTCCAGATGATTAAAAATTTTCGAACTCAACAAGCAGGTTAATCATTAATGTATCCGAAATGATAATGCTTATGGCTAGCATAATCGTATTCTTAACGCGATATATGTATGCCCCACACAAAAATGCAGGCACTCATGTAAACACTTAGCCACTGTTTGACAACCATTATTTTGAAAAAATAAGGTTTTTGAATAGTAATTTTTAAGAGAACGTGTGCTTAAAAAGTAGGAAATTTTTTTGGGTTTACGTGCAAAATACTTTATCGTGTAAATGCGTGGTTGAGTATGTAGAAAAAAAGTTTTTAAAAATGGTTGTCAAACAGGGGCTTAAACATATATGCATATCATGTACACATAAAATACATCTCACAGGGTTGACTCGAAACCTACTGCCTTCACTGATGAGACAATGTACTCTCTGCCAGGTGGAGTAAACACGTTGGATGGTACTCTTATTCTATAGAAGTCGTCACCTTCCAATAGTTTCTGCAAGATTATTTCAGAAGGTATCATCAAACTCTATCGAAACATGATTCATGCATTCAAATTACATTGGACAGAAATTGGAAAGTAAAATTACTTTTAAATTCTCCTTCTCTGTCTCACTAAGGCCATTCCTCGAGAACCGAAGCTTTGTAAGTGTCTGCATGGCATCATATCTTGTTAATGTTAGACAGACAGAGAGGGGAGCCACAGAAATCCACTATTCATAAGGATGTTACAACTGTTCCATTCAGATGTTGGACAACATAATGACTAGCTTTTCCTTATACAATTACAACACGTGGAAAATTTGAAAGAACTGAGCACCATATGATGTTACATAAAAAAAAAAAAATATTACAGCAGAACACTGCAATACTTAATCTGGAAGACCGGAACTGTATAGAACTTCTTCAACAGTCTTCCTTTTGTATTAGTTTTTCAGCTAAAATTTTCTTATAAGGTACAACTTTAAATGCATGAGATACCTGTCCACGAATACTGGTGAATTACTTCGATTTATTCGGCCAGCAGAAAGTACAACACATTGCTGCACTATTTGCTGTGGTGATAAAAGAAATTCTTCATCTGTATTATTCATATTCTTTCCTAAATAATAAATACAATTTTAATGCATGATGTACCTGTCCGAATGTATACAGTAACATTAATGAATTTCTGCATTTATGAAACTATATATTGTCTAAATTGCTGCACATATACTCCAACACTCCTACTCAAAACACTATCTTCAAATAGCAGGAGGCTCAATTGTCGATGCACGATGTACAACAGTACCTGACCACCATGAGACCACGTTTTGAGGCGAGCAGAGAAAGTACCGGCGGACGAGAAATCGGAGTCGCCGAAAGCGTGTTCAAGGGAAAATTGGATTTTGGAGTCCGTATCAGAACCCAAATCCGATGAACGCTTCCGGATCGCCGGAGGTGAAGAAATAGTTCGGGTCAGGACGGCTGGGTCAGCGGATCGGCCACCTTCGATTCCGAATTCTTCGTCATCCGCAAGAAGCTCATCCGATTGGAAAGCGAACGATTTCGAAACGGAAAGAGAGAAATTCACCACAAGTATCGATAGGAACAAGAATTTGAGAGAAGATGAATATCTGGTACTCATTGTTGGCTGCTGGACTGAATGAAACCTTTATTGGTTTTTCAGTTCAAAGGGGGTCTTCTTGGGGAATAGGATAAGAGTACCATTCTGCCCTTTGTGTTTTCTAAGGCATGTTTGGCATTACTTTTTAAAAAGTTTAAAGTAGTTTTAAAACAAAAGAAGTTACTTTTGAACTATTTTTGTACAGTGAGTTTTGTTGATATTGATTTCTATTTCTCGACAAACGAGTCAAAAACTTTTTTGAAATAAATAATAAAGTAAGCCCCCGTTTGGCACCCATTTTTTGGAAGAAAACTCATTTTACTACAGTAAAACTGTGGGAAAAAGCAAAATGTCAGTTTCTTGTGTCTGAGCACATATTCAGTAATCTTGAACGTTGCAAGTTTTTACCCATTTTGCCCTCAAATCAACAAAACAGCCCCCAGCCACTTTAAAGGCCAACCTGAAGGACATTAAGGGGATTTCATAAAATTACCGTGTACGAAAGATTACCTTTCGGACACTTTTCCTGCCCATGTCAGAGCCGTATGACAGAAATAAGGACACTGGGCCCACACGTAATGCAAAGTACTGTTGAAAAAGGGGAAAAAATGAGTGCTAAACGGAGGATAAATGTGAGTCCAAGTATCGATTGTTGAGTTTTAATTTGTCATGTAAACCTACGTGCGTGATTAAAAGTAGAGGACTTTAGAATCAATTTGAAATCTCAATAGAAAAGCCATGGCACATAATTATGCTTACGGTGATTCAAGGTCAATAATCACTCCAAAAGAGAAGAACACAAGGACTCTGCCATTTCAATTTCCAAAGATGGGGATCTGATTGATGTTATATATTTTCTTCTCTTTTTCTGACAAATTTCTCCCAGTAATGTCTTTAAATTATTTCTTTTCTTTTTTCTTCTATGCTAGCCACGTCATTTAATCATCTAATAATGTCATATTCTATCCTAAATATAATTTAACTTCCACAATAAAATGTGACGTGATGAATGAATTTACGTAGTTTAATTGTGGAATCATGAACATAATTTTCACCATGATTTTGATATTGCCGATGGAATTCTAGTACATATGAAATTTCATCTTTAGATTAATGATTTTGGGTTAGTGTGTGTGTATATATATATCAAATTTCATATTAGTATGAATTGGATTGGGTTGGTATATATGGAAATTCAACTTTGGATCAATTCAAATGACGCATGCAGGGCGTTTGTGAAAATGGAAATACAAATATTAGAATGAGAAAAGTGATATGCCATATTTCTTTTTTTAAGTCCTCCGATATTGTCTAAACTTTTCATTTAAGTTCGTAGTTATCATGCGAAAAATATAGCGTGGCTTTCCCTTTTAACCAATATTGTTGAGGATTATTAAATCCCAGTCTAACAAAAAGACAAAAAGAAAGTGACAACACTAAAAAAGTGACACAAATTTAAAAAAAAAAAATCAACTTTCAATCAATTCAATTGATGCATGCAAGATATTCGTGAAAAAGTGACATTTTGTTACTTTTCTCTAAAAAAAAGTCACATTACCTTATTAGTGTAATTAACTAAATGTATACGTGTGTGCTTTTGAAAATTTAAATATACGAATTTAAATATTATTTTATGTTAATATATATGAAAATTTGACCTTGAATCAATTCAATTGATGCATACAAGATATTTACAAAAATGAGAATGTGAAATCTACAAAAGTCACAATATCTCATCAAGTCAATAACTAGATGCATACGTGTGCTTGTTTGAAAATTTAAATATACGAATTCTAACATTGTTTCACGTTAATACATATGAAAAATTAACTTTGAAAATTCAATTTATGCATGCAAGGTGTTTGCGAGAATGAGAATGTGAAAAAGCAGCATTCTATCATTGGAGCAATTAACTAGATACATACGTGTGCGTTTTTTAAAATTTAAATATACGAATTTAAATCTCGTTTTATGTGAATACACATGAAAAACTAACTTCGTATGAATTCAATTGATATATGCAAGGTGTTTATGAAATGAGAATGTGAAAAAAGTGACATTCCGTCAGTTTTCTATGAAAAAGTTACAGTTCTCATTAGAGCAATAAAATAGATGCATACGTGTGAGTTTTTTAAATTCAAACCTTATTTTACTTTAATACATATGAAATATTACCTTTGAATCAATTCAAGTGATGGATGCAAGATTTTTTCGAAAATGAGAATGTGAAAAAGTATCATTTTGTAATTTTTCTCTAAAAAAAGTTACGGTAACTCGTTTGAGCAATTAACTAGATGCATAGACTGCGTTTTTGAAAATTTAAATATAAGAATTCAAATCTTGTTTTAAGTTAATACATACAAAAAACTAACTTTGGATCGATTTAATTTATGCACGTAAGGTGTTTGCGAAAATGAGAATGTGAAAAAAGTGACATTCTGTTAATTTTCTATATAAAAAGGTCACATATCTTATTGAAGCAATTAACTAGATGCATACATGTGCATTTTTCAAAATTTAAATACACGAATTCAAACCTTATTTTACGTTAATACATATGAAAAACTAACTTTGAATCAATTCAATTGATGTATACAATGTGTTAGCGAAAATGAGAATGTGAAGAAAGTGGCATTCTGTCTCTTTTCTCTAAAAAAAAAAAAAAAAGTCATGGTATCTCATTAAAACAAAAAAAAAAAGTCATGGTATCTCATTAAAACACTTAACTAGATGCATACTTGTGCTTTTGAAAATTTAAATATATGAATTTAAACATTGTTTTACGTTAATACACATAAAAATCTAAATTTAGATCAATTTAATTTATACACCCAAGGTGTTTGCGAAAATTAGAATATAAAAAAAGTGACATTGTGTCACTTTTCTATATAAAAAAAAAGTCACATACATTATTGAAGCAATTAACTATATGCATATATGTGCATTTTTGAACATTTAAATACTTGAATTCAAACCTTATTTTACATTAATACATATGAAAAATTAACTTTAAATCAATTCAATTCATGCATGCAACGTGTTTGTGAAAATGAGAATGTGAAAAAGTGAAATTCTCCAGAAAAAAGGTCACAGTATCTTTTAAAAAACTACATGTTGAGATGACTGAAAACATATTTGTAACATATACGTAAAATGCAAACAAGGTACTTGTCTTAAAATAATAGTCATACTGTGAATGTATCCATGTGTATGAATCACTTTTGACAAACATTCAAAAAAAGTGAAATACATTCAAAATAGTGACATAAACTTAAAAAAATGACATTAAAAAGTTATATAAACTTAATAAAAGTGACAGAAAATAAAAAAAGTGACATAAATTTAAAAAGTGACAGAAACTTAAACACAAACAAAATTCTTATCTTAAAATAACAGTGACATTGTGAACGTATGCATGTGCGTGAATTACTTTTCACAAACACTCAAAAAAGTGGCAAACACTAAAAAAAGTCACATACACTAAAAAAAAGTGACATAAACTTAAAACAAGTGATGGAAAACCAAGAAAAGTGACACAAAGGTTTATAGTATACTAGTTTAAGTATGAGAAACAAAAGGTTTTTGAATTTTTTCCCTTTTTAGTGAGAGATACTTATTTAAACCCATTTCATTTAAAACATTCTCATGCCAATTCCATTATTTCACGTTCTCAATATACTATAAACATTCTTATTTCAGGTAACAAACTATATTAAAAAGAGAGAAATATGATGCATTCAGAAACATTAAAATGGAAAGAACCTATTGATCATCAAGAAGCATGAAGAAGTGCATCCCCTTACTTATTAATTAAGTAAAAGTGTGTGTATTTCATATCCTTGATTTCTGAATAGACCCCAATAGATTCTGCATCAGCTACAGAGAAAAGCCACACCCAAAAATTAAGAAGAAAGCAGCAATCCCACATAACAGTTATATAATTTAACTTCCACAATAAAAAGTGACGCGATGGATGAATTTACGTAATTTAATTGTCGAATCATGAACATAATTTTCACCATGATTTTGATATTGCGGATGGAATTCTAGTACATATGAAATTTCATCTTTAGATTAATAATTTTGGGTTTTTGTGTGTGTGTGTGTGTATATATATATAATTTCATATTAGTATGAATTGGATTGGGTTGGTATATATGGAAATTCAACTTTGGATCAACGCATGCAGGGTGTTTGTGAAAATGGAAATACAAATATTAGAATGAGAAAAGTGATATGCCATATTTCTTTTTTTAAGTCCTCCGATGTTGTCTAAACTTTGCATTTAAGTTCGTTGTTATCATGCGAAAAATATAGCGTGGCTTTCCCTTTTAACCAATATTGGTGAGGATTATTAAATCCCAGTCCAACAAAAAGACAAAAAGAAAGTGACAACACTAAAAAAAGTGACACAAATTTAAAAAAAAAAAAAAATCAACTTTCAATCAATTCAATTGATGCATGCAAGATATTCGTGAAAAAGTGACACTTTATTACTTTTCTCTAAAGAAAAGTCACATTACCTTATTAGAGTAATTAACTAAATGTATACGTGTGTGCTTTTGAAAATTTAAATATACGAATTCAAATATTATTTTATGTTAATATATATATGAAAATTTGTCCTTGAATCAATTCAATTGATGCATATAAGGTGTTTACAAAAATGAGAATGTGAAATCTACAAAAGTCACAATATCTCATCAAGTCAATAACTAGATGCATACGTGTGCTTGTTTGAAAATTTAAATATACGAATTCTAACATTGTTTTACGTTAATACATATGAAAAATTAACTTTGAAAATTCAATTTATGCATGCAAGGTGTTTGCGAGAGTGAGAATGTGAAAAAACAACATTCTATCATTGAAACTAGTGATGGCATCGAGCCGAGCGGCTCGTCGGCTCGGCCGCTCGACTCGTGGATCAAGACACGAGCGCTCGTGGGGCACGAGCCCACGAGCAGAGCCCACGAGCCGAGCTCGTGGGCTCGTGAAAAACATTTAAAAAAAAAAACTAA